TAGTAGAGAAATTAATTTGAAAAATTACCTTGACGTTTCGATAGCTATTTTCTGCTATCGTTATCAAAAGAACCTAAATGAATTGTGTAACAATAGTAGGATAATACAGTATATGAAAATTCGCTCTGATAATTCTTGATTGATGACGATTGAAGATGCAGCAGTGAAATTTGTTGTCGATTCTCTGTACGTTTAATTGCGGCAAGTTGTTCTAACTATACAGCACCTATAATAAAAATATGAAGTGCATACTCTAGACCGATTTAAATTGCATTATTCCCCAATTAAGTTCTATCGGTTTAGCTCCTTCCTTAACTTTAGCCGATAATCAATTCCCAAAATAACATTTTCAGTTGTAGTGATTGGTTTCGAAATGTAAATTGCTTTTATGCAAGCCTATGGAATCTTCCAACAATCATATTGAGAATCTCGTCGGAAATTAGGAACAGAAAGACTGCATTTTCAATTTGAAAGATTCGCAGCGATTGCACGGTTGAGAGCGCGACAACCAATCGTAGGGCCTCTATTGCGTTTATTCGAACGTAGAAAATTGCACTTAAGTTTAAATTAAAGATGCTTGTTATCGGTTTCTGGAGTTTCTATTTCGAGTGAACGATTTAAATTTACAGATTGGGAAACTTTTCTGAACAGTTCTTAACTGGAATTGGAGCATTTGTTTAAGGATTAAACTGAATCCGGCTAAATAATTGCCTGGAAAAATATATTGTGATTTAAACACAAATGAGCACTTTCGAATATACAAACTATTCTCAAAAATACCAACAGACTAACACTTAAAGTTGATCTGAACCAACCAGTGGAACAGGTAGGCTTTCAACGGGGTTTAGTTCCCATCCTGGACAGGAGCGAGCATTTTCACTGCTTTCAAACTTTAACATAATAATACAGGGCAATTTATATTGAAAACGAGGTATTTTGAAGTTTCAACAATCAGTTAACAATTAAACCCTCAGCATCGCAGATAGAAATGAACACACAATATCATTCATTTAATAAGTAGTAATGAAAATTCCGGGTTTTCGCGTTACTAAGCGCTATTAGAACGAAACAATTTTCCAACCATTTTCCAGCTGGTTGATGGAATAATTCATGCAAGCCAACAAATTTCCTTTAGTTGCATGACATCATTATTTAATAAAATCAAAAGATGGTGGCATAATGCTAGTGCAAACAACAGACTAGCATTAATAATTTTGCATTCGCTTTTGTTTCAGTTTGCTCGCATTTTGTTTCGCTTTGTTCGCAATATTGCTTTACATGTAAAGCGGGAAAATTAAATTGCTCAAACGACTTTCCAACCGTCAGGGTTTATATTTGCAGACTTTTATATGGGTGTAACATTTTATATTAGATTTTTGCCGTGTTTCGATGTGTATTAATAACGTTGTTTCCATTATTAATTGGGCGCAAATGCAAAACTGCAAACGCATTGTTGGACTGTTTTTATTTAATTAAACTGATAAAATTTCCTTTGCTAATTTAAAAAAATTTAATACTGTTATCTGAATGTTGTTTTCGGCTTCTACTTCTCTGCGTATTTGATTATCTGTTTGAATGGTAGGATGAGAGCCTGTTTCCAGTTTCATGGGGGTGGCTTTATTGACCAAAGCTGTTCGCCAGAAACTGTTTAGATAGCCGTAGGCTGAGACCTTCTATATTTGAACTCCTACTTTTGGAATATTTTCATTTAACCGAAATTGAAAACTTTTTAATGCCCCTTAATTAATCTGCTAAATTGCTTCAATGTTATCTCTGCAATTTACCCTACTTTCATTCTTCCAATGTTTATATTTTGTCCTCAATTGTTGCGGGATTGAAAAATCTCTTACTTACTTACTGGTTCCACATTAATTTTATGCTCATCCATATTAGAAGTGGATGTTATAAGTATTGGGTGCAACTCACTCTCACACACTAACTTATTAGGAAATTTTGAAATTTTGTGTGTGCACATTATCTCCTGCAGGAAAGTTTGTAACATGTGATAGTAACAATTACATTTTCCTTACCGAGCTACAGTGGATTAACCAAACCCTCCTAATCCAAAATAGGCAACAATGTTGCCCTTTCATCAATTTGCAATTTGGCCATAAAAACCCCAATTTTGTACTTTTTGAGCAATTTATGTGGCAGCACACTTTTGTGAAGAACTCCCCTGCTCCACCAATAAAAGCTCCAAAAACGATTCAAAATAGTTGCTTCCATCGCAAGGGACAATTAAATCTCGAAAACAATATAAAAGCATAATAACCGAAATATTCTCTTATATCCTTCGAAAGTCGTATCGCTAGTCCTTGTTGATTTATTTGATTTCGGCTTGGACGAGTAAGACGGCCTTAATACGCTTGACAAGTCGAAAGAGCGGTTTATTTTTGGTTTACGACGGTCCAGAAGAAAACAGCAAATAATTCAAGATCCGCAGATAAAATATTGACGGATTTCCGGATAGTCTGCGAAGTTGAACAGAAGGAATATTTCAAATCCGGGTTGATAGCCCATCGTAAAAGTAATTCTATGATGTGACAGTTTGAAGTTGAACCATAATGGTCTGTCCTAACTTCTAACAGCTTTCGACCTAGGACTGATTAGTCTGTGCCTGTTTGTAATTGGGAATTAATTGCGAGTTCCTGCTAATGAAGGGAATAATTATGTTTGAATATCTTAAATGGAAATATGTTAGTTTTTACTTTTGTTTAATGGTAAAGCCTGTGTCCCATGCATCCGTTTATACCATGGTACGATGATAAGAAAGTGTTCCTATTGGTTGGAGATATGTAAGATCCGTCGATGGAGGACAAAGTGACAGATCTTCAACCAATAGAGGCACTTCGTACCATCGTATGAGACACAGGCTTAACTCTAATTGGCTAGGTGAGTGCTTTTGTTACTTAGGGGCAAAACATGCAAAGCAAGCAAAGCGAATT